GGTGGCTCACTCAAGAGCTGGTGTCCAAAGTCCAGGGCGGGCAGACGCAGGCCCGTCCCTCCCTGTGTGTCTGGGTCATGGCCTCAGGTTTCTGCGCTGACCACTGCAGAGACCTGGTTCAAGCACAGGCCCCAGTGCTGAGACTTCACCCCTCGCCCCCAGGAGGCCCGATACCTGCTTCTCTTAAAGGACTTTTTTTTCCTGTGGCATATGATCTGTTTACAAGTACATTTGCATCTTTAAGTTTCCTGCTAGGAAGCCAGAAGCAGGCAAATTTGTGCTTAGCAGCTCATGTTTCAGTATTTTATCTGATTAGAAACTGATTTTTTTCTTTTTTTTTTAAAGATTTGTTTATTTTATACAAGAACCAGGGTCCTGGCCAGATGCGCGGGAGGGTAAGAGGATTCACCAGAGACAGAGTGGGGAACAGAACTGGCAGACTGACTGAAATACACTGCTGAGGGGAGCAGCAGGTGTGGCAGGAGAGGTCTGTCTCACCATGTGGGACCCTCGCCCGGCGGCCGGGATCGAACCGGTGCTGCAGAGACTTTGGGCAGCTTCACAGTGCGGCACTCAACCACCTGCGCCACCAGGGAGGCCCCTGATTTTTTTTTTCTTTTAATAAGAAATTTTTGTTTCATCATTCTGCTAGATAGAAAAGTCCAAAAGAGTCTCACAACAAGGCAAGATTCCTGCCTTTATTTACTGGGTCATGACGGAAAGAAAGTGCAATAGTTGTGCCTTAAAGTACGTCCTTCTTTTTCCTAAGTTACCCTCAGAACCTCACAAGTGTAATAAATTTTCTTTCAAATTGTCCAACTTCACTTTCAGAGTTAGAAGCATTCTACAAATGTAGAGTATCCATGTCAAAGATTTATTTATTGCACAAGTGAGAGACCCAACAGGACGGCAAAGTTAGTTCAAGTGGTATTTGAGGAACAGATCTCTACAGCCTGCCAGAGAAGATATGCAGACACAGGTTTGCTAAGTTAGAGAAAAGACAGGCTAATGTTCTACCGGGCAATAAAACTGCAACAGGTGGTCTTATCTATTCATTTGCATCCATACCAGAAATCACTTGCTCCTCCATGAGACAAATACCTGCACATTAATATGTAACTTCATAGATACTGGCCGTCATCACTAGTACTTAGTCAAACAAAACTGCATTATCCTAGACTTGAAAAGTAATTAATCCTTAGCTGGGCTTGTTAAATAATGCTCAAGCACAACACTGAGGAAACATGTCATTCTCCTTAGTGTCAGTTGCAAGGTTTTGGTGTTTATCCCAACCAAGTGGGAACCCTCATACCCACATCACTCTTGTGCCAGGAGGCTCTCTCGGCTCATGGTTTGTTTATTTTTTTTTTTTTAAATATTGGTCCCAAATTCTTTTTTTTAAAGATTTATTTATTTATGCATAGAAGAACTTCGGTGTAGGCCAGAGGTATGGGGGGGTGAGAGGATTCCCCAGAGACAGAGTGGGGAGCAGAACAGGCAGACTGACAGAAATCCACTGCTGAGGGGAGCAGCAGGCGAGGCAGAAGAGGTCTGCTGCTCCCTGTGGGTAGCTCTCTGGCCAGGGATCGAACTCGTGCTGCAGTAACTGTGGACAGCCTCACAGTGCTGTGCTTAATCCACTGCACCCCCAAGGAGGCCCCACAACTCATGGTTTAGAGTTCTCTGTCTCTGGTCTGCCCTTCGCATAATAGTGAGTTCATTCACCTAATAATTTTTAAGTATCTTCCACCTGCTACTCCATGTTCTATTACATTTGACTAGCAGTTTACACTTCATAAAACACCTTACGCCCAACAGCCTCGTTTTTCTTTAGAATTTAAGTAGCTACAGGATCATTCGATAAGACTTGAATGCATTCCAAAATAAATTATTACTCCATAACGAGACTGTAAATTAATATATCATGGTAACTTTTTACTGATGGCTTATAATAACCTTAGGATATGGATTTTGGGACAGAACAGGGAATTGGGTCTTAATGGAGATAATCTCATGGCAAATAAGTCAAAGGTTTAAAATGAAAAGCTGGTGTATTCTCTATGAGCCTTTACCACCTTCATCTATGACTTTTTGAAGCATAGGAGTGAATTTTGAAACAGATTTAGATGCAGATGTACTTCCATTATTTAACTTAGCAAAAACTTTTAAGGGTTGAAATTAAAAAAAAAAAAAAAAACCCTTGGAAACTACATTGAAGACCATGAACCAAATTGTTGCTGAAAATTTCCCTCAAGGGGGCCTCCCTGGTGGCACAGGGGTTAAGCATCAGCACTGTGAAGCCATCGGCAGCCTCTGTAGCATGAGTTCGATTCCCAGCCAGGGAGCTACCCACACAGCGCAGCAGACCTCTCCTGTCTCCCCCACTGCTCCCCTCAGCAGTGTATTTCAGTCAGTCTGCCTGTTCTGCTCCCCACTCTGTCTCTGGGGAGTCCTCTCACCCCCCACACCTCTGGCCTGCACCCCCGTTTTTGTATGCATAAATAAATCAATCTTTAAAAAAGTTGCTGGCGTGACAGTTCACAATCACGTACTATTTAATGTCCACTAAAGAGTTAGGTTTTTAAAGGCTAATTCATCTATAACTAAAAGTAACAAAGATAATAAGAAAAATATCTCTGTATACAAAAACAGTGCATTTTCCATATCACAAGGTGTCAGGAAAGGAAATGGATTTTCTTGAGAAGAAGGAATGTTGGTGATTTCAGACTGGGAAAGAAGAAAAGGCATCAGCACAACGTGGATGTGAAAAGGCAACTTAGAGAAGGTCAGGGGAAGGGCCTGGGGGAAATTTGTCTATGATCCAACAGGGTAAGATGAATTTAAGGGTTTAAAAACAAACTTTAATATCACCCCAGTTCTTCTACACAAAAATAAACAAATTAAATCTTTAAAAATAAATAAATTTTATTTTTTTAAAGATTTATTTATTTGTTTATACAAGCACTGGGTACAGTCAGAAGCGCGGGAGGGTGAGAGGATTCACCAGAGCCAGAGCGGGGAGCAGAGCAGGCAGAAGGACCGAAGGACACTGCTGAGGGGAGCAGCGGGCGGCAGGAGAGGGCTGTGCGCCATGTGGGACCCTCCTCCGGTAGCCGGGGAGCATCTGGGGATCGAACCGGCGCCGCAGAGGCCGCGCGCAGCTTCGCAACCCAGCGCTCAACCGCTGCGCCACCGGGGAGGCACAATGAATAAATTTAAAAAAATGAAAACCACATGCTAGTTACTGAAGGGCAGAAAGTTTTAAAACCATTTTTTCTTTTCATCACATACAGCCTGTTGTAGAAAATCTGGGAAAGAAAGAAATGTCTGGCCAAAATGGCTAAGTTGAAATTGTAAAAATATAGAAACAAAAATGATACAAATGGAGAAGTCGTGGCTGTTCATCCATCTGTGTTAGTGACGGAAATGACTTTGTCCCCTCTGAGCTCTCGCTTACCGTGGAGCATCATTTCCTGCCTTTTCTTTTTTTAAAGATTACTTTATTTATTTGTGCACACAAGAGCTGGGGTGCAGGCCAGAGGCACGGGGCGGGGGTGAGAGGATTCACCAGAGCCAGAGCGGGGCACAGAACAGGTGGACTGACTGAAGTACACTGCTGAGGGGAGCAGCGGGGAGACAGGAGGGGTCTGCTGCGCCGTGTGAGTAGCTCCCTGGCCGGGGATTGAACTCATGCTGCAGAGGCTGTGGTCAGCTCCACAGTGCTGCGTCTCAACCCCTCTTGCACCCCCAGGGAGGCCCCTGACCGTGATCTTCTGGCCCTTGCTTCTTCAAAGCCCCTAGACTTGAAGGAAAGGTCTCACTGTGTTATTTGCAATTTAGAGACGGGTGACATTTATGAACGTCCCTCGGCCGTTTTTCTGCCTTGGAGTTTTCTGTGTGGGGAGCCAGGAATGTGATTGCAGAGGCCAGGCGTGTGGGGGAGGGCTGAGGAAGGACAGGACACTTAGAGGGGCGCACAGGCTGGCATTGGTGTGGGGGTTTGGGCAGGGTGGAGAGGCCTCGCCAGCCAGAGGCGGGGAGCCAGCGCTGCTGAGATGGCCCTGGCTGGCTGCCCCCCAGCACCCCCAGCGCCTGCCTGAGCACAGGGGCACTGCCCTGGCCCCGGGGTGGCCACTCCCTCCCCACCACCCCACTGCGCCTTGCTGGGCAGCCTGCTGCTGTCCCCGCTCTCAGCTGAGCTGTGCCAGGGCAGGGAGGCCTGGGGGCAGGATCTGCTGTCTGAGCTGTGCCAGGGCAGGGAGGCCTGGGGGCAGCACCCTGGGGAAGGCGCCTGGTGGCCCCGGCTGGCCAGCCCCAGAAGCCAGCCCAGCTGTTGTCTCCAGCTAGGAAAACAATCCCGGACAGCCCAGGAAGCCGGGAGCCAGCTCCCTCCAGGGAGAAGGGCCCCGCAGAGGCGCCCTTGCTGCTGCTTGAGCTTCCAGCTCTCCCAGGCACGTTGTTTTTCCAACCCCGTTGGATTTGGGCCGTTGCTTGCGACCATTTAAGGGAGAGACGCTGGACATGTGGACTCACCTCGCCTGCTCCCCAAAGGGTGGGAGCGCCCAGCCCTCCCTGCTGGCCCCGGGAGACCCTGCCATGGGGTGGGGGGGCTGCTCGCTGACCCCTCCCCGCGGGGCTGGCAGGGCCGGGAGAGCTGGTTAGACCTGGCTCCCTGCCTGAGACCCCAGAGGTCACGGCGAGGGCCGGGAGATGCTCCGTTCCCCAGTGACTTCTCCTCCAGTTTCCATCCCGGGCTGCTGCCGCGGGGGAGGCGGGGAGGCTGCGTCCCGGCAGCCCTCACCCTGCTAAGCTGTGCCGAGAAGAGAGCCCCAGCCTCTGGGCGGGACTACCGCAAACAACTTCAACCCCGGCCACATTCCAGCCTGTTGTTCCACCTGGGAGCGCGCAGCCTTCCCCGCGGAGTCAGCCGCGAGCCCTTCTTCCGCCTTACCTTTCGTGATCCCACCCCCCAGAGGCAGGTAGGGCGCTGGGAGAGGGGTGGCCTGCGTCGCCTCTGCCTGACCCCATCCTGGGCTGCCCCAGGACCTTGCAGGGTGCCTGGTGTGAGCAGGGGGAGGTGGGGGGTGTGCCCTGAGTCTGTGGGTGGGGGCTCCCCTTCCTGTCCCCAGGCCGTCCAGATGTTAGGGGGGAAACAGATGTCCTAAAGCGGTAACACAGGCACACGCCAAGGCGGCTGCCAGTGAGTCCTGCTTGAGGCAGGAGCCCCACTTGAAGGTGGGGGAGCAGTGGCTGTTGCAGACGTCCAGAGGGGGCCCTGGGGCCAGTGGGTCTCACCAAGCCCAGCCCCCCTCCCCTCCCCCTGCTGTCAGCAGCCGCCTTGGCTGGCCTGTCCTCCAGCCGCAGGGGAGCGCTGGGCACCCGGGGGTTCCTGGGGTGTGGGGGCCAGACTGGGACCCTGGGGAGGCTCCCCTGGGCTGGGATCTGGCCGAGGCCGGTCAGTGGTGGGAGGGAGGACCCACTTGCCTCCAGCTTGTTCTTACAGTCAGCAGCTCAGGGGCCCCCCTAATGTGGGGAGTCCCTACAGCGGGGGCCTCAGTTTCCACACGCCAACATCAAGTCAGGGCTTTCTGGGAAAGGAGCCTTGAGGTGAAAGTGAGGTGCCCCTTCTCCCCATCTCCAGCCCCAAACCCAACCTCAGGGCTCTGCTAAATCCCCTGAGGCTCGGGGCTGAGCCCACCCCTCCGCACTAGAGCCCAGAGGTTTCACCTCCCTGCTGTCCAGTCCCCCAGGCTTGGGGGGCTTAGGAGAACCAGCTTTCTCTGGCCTTGTCCGCCTCCCCCAGCTTCCCTGGGGTCCAGGAACCCTGGCCTGCTGCCTCCTGCTCCCCCGTCTCCTCCCAGCACCCCCTGCTCATGAGAGCAGGATCTGGCAGTCCCTGAGCCTGAGCCTTGGGTGACTCTCTAGAGAAGTGGCTTCATTTGCGAATCAGTTGTCAAGAAGTTGGGGGTGAACTGAACCCCACATCCCCAGCTAAGACAGGAAATGAGCTTCTAGAGGCTCCCGGAACTGGGCTGAGAACAAAGGGGTTAAGTGTTGTCAGAAAAGCAGGTGTGTGTTGGGGGGCGGGCGGGGGCAGAGCTCGCTTGCTGAAGTTCAAGGGCAGTTCACACCTGCAGCTGGGCCAGTGCAGATCAGCGGCTGCCTCTGGGCGCCCCCCACCCCAGCTCTGACCTCCATTCGCTCAAGGTTAGTGGCTGAGTCTCCAGCCTCTGCTCCGCCGGTAAAGCAAGCTCAGAAAAAAGTCTAGAAGAGCATTTTCTTTCTTTTTCTCTTGTGCTTTTGGGACGAGGCCAGCTCAGCCATTTAGCCTCATTTCAAACTGACCTGCTCCAGCGCCCCGGATGTGGGTGAGTGAGGGGCCTCTGGCCTCAGCCCAGGGTGCAGGTGATGGGGGCACTGGCCTCAGCCCAGGCCCCAGGCTGCACTTCCAGAGGACCTTAGATGTCATCTTAGTGGCGTCTTGGGGTACCTAGATGTCAGCAGGTTTGGGGGTTCCTGTGTCCTTGCCGTGGTCATGAAAGAATCCCAAGCCACGTTTGGGCAGAGCTGGGCTATTTAGAGCCAAATGGCCTGGGCAGGGGTAGGGAGGAATGCCCACCAGTGAAGGCGGGACTCCCAACTGAAACGGGGTACAGGGGTGGCTCACGCCCCCCTGCCTGGGGTGTACAGCACAGGTGCTCAGGGCGAAGTCACCCCCTTCTGCCGAGGGCCCAGGGGCAGCTTCACCACCCCCCGGCAGGCTGGGGCGAGGCGGCCTTTCTGCCCCTGGACACTGTCCGCTCCAGCAAGTGTTTCCTGGGGTCCTTTGCTTTCCTTGGGGCTCGCCCTCCCCACACTCACTGCCTATGGCTGGGGCTGAAAGCCACACCCTCTGGCCCCTGCCCCGCCTCTCCCGCCTGGCCCAGCCTCCCGCCGGCCCTGGGTGCTGCTGTGAACTGACGCTCCGCCGGCTCCGGCTCCCGCTATGTGGTTATGTGGCGCAGCAGCAGGTGTGCAGAGCTGGGCTTGGGGGGTGCGGAGACTGGCAGGCGGGAGGCTGGCGCTCAGGCCGGGTTTCCCACCTGGCCACGTGGTCGGCTCGATGAGGAAAGAGTGAGCTCATTCGATGAGGTCACCCCAGTGAGGCTTCACCCCAGAAGCACCCCACAGGGCTGTGTTCCCACCACCGGGCCGGAGTTCAGTTCTGCGGGAGGGAGCAAGTCCCTGGCACTAGAATGGGGTGATTGGGGCGGGAGGGGTGTCGGGGGGCTCTGGCTCTGAACTGTCCCGACCCAAAGACAGGCTGAGCCGGAGGGCCAGGGGCTGCCCTCTCCCTCCCTGCAGAGGGCCGGTGCCCACTGTCCAGTCTCTACCAGGCTCCCGGGGCGGTGGGCGAAAAGCCAGATTCGCCTCCAGGCAGCTGATCCCTGCAGAGACTGCAGTGGGGCTGCCCAGGCTCCACTCAGGCACCCTTTGCAGGCTCGGGGGGTCTGGACCTCGGAGTGGACTGTCGGGGGAGGAGGTCAGGGAGGCGTCTCGACTCAGGGCTCTCCCTCTGGCTGTTGTTATTGTTGCTTCCGTGGAAACATCTGGAGGCCGAGGCTTGAGCCCAAACAAAGGCAGAGCGGATGTAATTACCTGGGTCTATTGGGAGCAAAGGCTGTAAAATTATCTGACTAGTCCAGACAAGTGTCGTGGGGCACGAGGCCTGCGTAGGGGCCTGGCATTCTCCGCGGACAGTGGCTGCCCTGGGTGACGGCAAAGTCGGGTGACGTGAGCAGCCCCTCGGCCAGCACTTCAGGAAAGACCACAGCCAGGCTCCTGCCGGGAGTGACCACCGGTGCAGTCCAGCCCGGCCCAGCCCCGCCCTGGGTGGCACAGTCACCCAGGCAGGGTTTCTGAGCCCGAGGCGGGGGTCTGATGCTGGCCCTATGAGGACTTGCCATGGGGACCCTGCTGGACCCCAGGGCTTCCGGGGGTGCACGGGAGATCAGACGCTCTGTGACCATGTGCGGATTTGTGTCCCCAGGTTCTGGGAGAATCAGAGCAGTCTGTGGCCGGAGGGCCCCGGGGGCGGGGGGCGCATGGACACTGTTGCTGTGTCGAGGCTGGTGTGTCCACGGCACAGATGTGGGTCACTGGCCGTCAGGATTGACCAAGGAGGTGAGCACGGTGGGCCAAGCTGAGCCCACAGCTGACCCATGCGGCGGGCGCCGCGCTTCCCCGCCAGTGGGGGCCAGCTCCCAGGAGGACAGCTGGTTCTGAGAATAAGGGGGGGTGAGTGTACGTGCAGGAGTATGAGGGGACAGACCACAGCGTGCTGTCCGAGCCCCCCACAGCAGGGATGTCCTGGGACTATCACAGGCTCCCGTCGGTTGGTGTGAGGAGGACACAGCCCTGAGCACTCACTGACCCTGAGCCTGTCCCTGTCCAGGGGTCCCTGAGCCTGTCCCTGTCCAGGGGTCCCTGAGCCTGTCCCTGTCCAGGGGTCCCTGAGCCTCTCCCTGCCCAGGGACCCTGCAGCCTCTCCCTGCCCAAAGGATCCTGAGCCTGTCCTGCCCTGGGTCCCGGTGCCTATCCCTGCTCAGCGTGGGCTGTGACTTGGCAGCCTCCCCTGCAACCACACACCAGCAGTGCAATGATTAACAGGAAGCTGGGCGGATGCCCTGCCAGCCGGGTCAGGTTGATGGCGGGAGCCGTGACTTGCAGAACGGCCAGCCGGCCCCGGGAGACGCTGCTGGGGGGCAGGTGAGCGCGCGGGGACCCCCCCCTGAGGCACCTTGTTTCCTAGGAGTGGGCTGCCGGCCAGCGGAGACGGCGGAGCACAAGGATCCGGCATGGAGAGCAGGGCGTGGTGAGGCGGGAGGAAGGAAGAGCCGGCACCGGAGCCCCCGCCCCCGCGTGGGGCATGTGTGCGGGCCTCGGGGCGTCTCTGCCGCGGCAGCTGAGCCATGGGCTCCTGCAAGTACAGCGTCTTCAGCCTGACCCTGCTGTCCACCCTGCTCTTTGTGCTTGTTTACAATAACGGCTTGTGGAGCGAGAAGCGCGCCCTGTGGGCCTCTCTGGCCAACGCATCCCTGCTGGCTGGCGTCTGTCGCCAGATATACCAGGGCAGGGTTTTCCACCCTGATGACAACGCCCTGAAGACGGTGCTCAGCACCCCCTCCTGCCGGGACTACCTCGCCCAGAGCCACTACATCTCGGCCCCGCTGTCGCGGGAGGAGGCCGCCTTCCCGCTGGCCTACGCCATGGTGGTGCACAAGGACTTCGGCACCTTCGAGCGGCTCTTCCGGGCCGTGTACGCGCCCCAGAACGTGTACTGCGTGCACGTGGACCAGAAGGCCGGCGCCGACTTCCAGCTGGCCGTGGAGCATCTTCTGAGCTGCTTCCCCAACGCCTTCCTGGCCTCCAGGACGGAGCCGGTGGTGTACGGGGGCATCTCGCGGCTGCAGGCCGACCTGCACTGCCTGGCGGACCTGGCGGGCTCGCGGGTGCCCTGGAGGTACGTGCTCAACACCTGCGGGCAGGACTTCCCCCTGCGGACCAACCGGGAGATCGTGCGGCACCTGAAGGGTTTCCGGGGGCAGAACATCACCCCGGGGGTGCTGCCCCCCGCGCACGCGGTGCCCAGGACCCGCTATGTGCACCGGGAGCACCTGGGCCCGGAGGCCTCCTACGTGATCAGGACCTCGGCGCTGAAGGCGCCTCCGCCCCACAACCTGACCGTCTACTTTGGCTCGGCCTACGTGGCGCTGACCAGGGCCTTCGTGGACTTCGTCCTGCACGACCAGAGGGCGGTGGACCTGCTGCGGTGGTCCCGGGACACCTTTAGCCCCGACGAGCACTTCTGGGTGACCCTCAACCGCATCCCAGGTAGGCGCCTCCCCTCGCTTTGGTGCTGACGAGCAGACATGCTCGGCCACCAACAGGATCTTAGAAACCAAGATGACGCCTCCCCTGGTGGCGCAGCAGTTGAGCGCTGGGTTGCGAGGCTGCCCGCAGCCTCTGCAGCGCCGGTTCAATCCCCGGCTGCCAGCGAGAGTCCCACAAAAAAAAAAAAGAAAGTAATCAAAACGAAACCCCGTCTCAGAGCTCTTAACCTCTTCCCTGTGAAAAAGCCACAGCACCTGGCGCTGCAGGGGGCCGAGAGAAGTCAGCTCCCACCTTGTGGAGAGGAAATGCCGGCCGGTAACAGATGCGTTTTGTGCCTCCCGGGCCCCAGCCGTGAGCGTGCAGCCCCTCGAGGTGTCCCAGGCTGACTGTGCCCCTCGGGAGCCCGCAGCAGGTGCCATAGTCACATCCGAGGGGTGACTTGATCTAAGAGCGCTTGTCCTGCTGGGGACCCGTGTGGGAAGCCACGTCTATCCCAAAAGGGAGCAGGGCGCAGCTCACCCTGCTTTCCTTTGCCAGCCCCCCGAGACAGAGCAGAACACCTGGAGCACTTAGAGGTTCTGGCGCCTTCATTCTGCAGTGGGGAGGCCCTCGGCTGGGCCCGAGCAGGCCGCTTGCCAGCTGGTCTCCCTGCCCTGCTCTCCCTCTGCCGATGTGCAGTGAGGTTTCGGGGTCCAAGTTCCCAATGGGCTTATAATCTCTGGTTGTTTTCAGGGGAGTAAGGCAATTCTTCTTGTTCCATTTAAAACTCAACTTCAGACACACGGAGAAAGACCCAGGCCCGGGCCGGGTGGGCGGGGTTCAGCCCCAGGGGGAGCGACAGTGTCCGAGAGCCTGTCTGTTCCCCGGAGACCTGATTGCCCAGGGCGCCCCCTGGGAGCTGCCTGTTGGGGGTCCAGGTGCCAGTTCTCTCTACCGACCTGAGCTCAGGGAACGCCGCCATCCCCACCCCTCGCCCCTGTGGCCCGGCTTCCTCACCTGGCCGGCTGGGGCCTGCCGAGCTGTGGGCTGGCCAGGGAAAGCAGGCCCAGGGCCCAGGGCCTCCTGGCTCAGCAGGGCTGTGGGGAGCACGGCTGGCGGGTTCTGGGTTCCTCCAGTTTGGGGACCCTTCCAGTTGCTGTCTGGGCTGGCCGGTTGTCTGGACATTTGAAGATTAATTTGAACATTTACAATCAAATTGGACTAAACGGAAAGCCAGGGGCCAGCGTGATTGGAGATTCTCCATGGAGGAGGCCAGAGCCAGGACCCCGCAGCTGGGGCCCCCGGCCTGTGGTTCCTTCGTGACCCTGTGGCCTCTGCTGCCAGCACGCCCATGTCTGCGGCTGACCCCACACCTGTGGCCGGCTGCAGGCCGCAGGGCCCGTCCACACTGGGTCAACTGGTGCGATCGGGCCTGTCCCCCAGGCCCAGTCTCTCCCCTGGTGCATCTCTGCGAGAAGTTTGACGGTTTAGCTGGTCACCTGAGAGCTGGACAGCGTCCGGGGGTGAGGGGCGGTGCCCGTCCTGAGTGGCACGCCGTGGCTGTCGCCTGCTCCCTGGGGACCGACCGCAACTGTCCCCCTCACCTGCTACATGACTTGGGAGCTCGCTTGACTCTCTGCCCAGATCCCCAGTGGCTTAGAACTGACTCCTTAAGGCAGGCTTTGTGGGAGACAGGGCAGGGCCAGTCCAGCGTCTGCAGGGCACGGACGAGAAGGCCGGGAAACTGGGGGGCAGACTGCACTCGCTGTGGCCAGGACTGGCGTGCTGCAGTCTGGGGGTGCCCTGCCCCCGAGGGAGGGGAGCCCCAGCTGCTGGGCACTGCCATGCTTGAGGCTGGCCGCTCATGTTGGCCCCGTGGGTGTGGACACGGGTACTGCGGTGCCTGCCCCCAGCACACAGGAGAGCAGCTGGGCCAGGACCCACACAGCTCTGGGGCCCCGGGCGGCTGGAAGGGGACTCGGCCTGGACAGTGTCTGCTAATGTGTCTGCTGGAAAGGCCCAGCTTGTCACCCCACAGGCAAGGAAATGGGTGGGTCTCTCGGCACCCAGAAGACTGTCCAAGGACCCTCCCTTGGGCTGGCGACAAAGGGCTGGCTCGTGCACAGATGAGGGTGGGAGTCGGCGAGGGGGCCAGCTGTGGGCAGCAGCTGTCTCCACCCACGTGCTGCCCAGCCCCGCCTCGGCCTGCCTTCCTGCCCTTCCAGAGGGCGGCCATCCTGGCGTCTCGGGGTGACCCTGGGGCACAGCGCTCAGGTACAGGACCACTCAGAACCCAGGGCCGCGAGGGCCACTGTCTTGACTTTAAAAAGATGACGTTTCCACAAGCAGAGGCCGGCCAGCGTGCAGTCAGAGGAAGTTGCCGGCTGCGCAGAATGTTCCTTTCGCATCGCTTTCGCTTTTGGTTCAGCCTCTAGGCGGTCTGCAGGGCAGGATCCTGAACCCCCAAGGGCAGGCATCTACCCAGACCCTGTGCCCCCCATGGCCGGTGCCCCCCAGGGTTGGTTGCCCCCAGCACCAGTGTCCCTTAGGACCGGTGCCCCCAGGGCCAGCGCCCCCATGAAGTCAGCCCTGGGGGTGGCTGGGAGGGCCTCCAGCCCCCCGAGCATAGAGGACAACTGGTCCTCTGCGTTCTGGATCCTGAGGGGTGATCAGGCTAGAAAAGTGAAGTCAACAGTTCAGGGGGCTGCCAGTGTCCTTCAGGCCTGAGACACTTGGAGTCAAATGTCTACTAGAGGAGTGGACGTGCCTTGCCGGGCCTGGCTCCTGGTCCTCTGCCCGGACCCTCCCCTCCCGCCGCTCCTATCTCTGGGGCTCGGCTGCTCTGAGACCCTCCGGGGCGGTGCCTGCGGCCGGACTGACCAGGCCAGGCAACACATCTGTGACCGTTGCCGGGGCGAGCCACCGCCGGCCACTGCCTGTCACAGGTCGCCCGGTTCAGCTAGCCTCCGGGAGTCATTGGGGCCACGGCTCCCAGCCCCGGGCGAGGAATGGGCACTTGGGGTGCAGCACCCCGGTTCCAGGGCACCCCCTCCCCACGCCAGTTGACAGCCTCACTGACGCACCATCTACACGTGCCAAACCCTAGCCATAAAGCCCGCCTGTTTCGAGGGTCCAGTTCCATGAGTTTTGGCCTGTTTGCAAGGCGATGCGACCGTGACTTCGTCTAATTTGGGGTGTCCTGATCAGCTCAGAAGGAGCCTCGTGCTGCTGGCCCATCTCAACTCTTGCTGTCCGTCTATCTGTCCGTCCTTGCGGCCAGCCGTCCTGGGTGCTCCTGTCCACCCCACGCCACTGCTGGTGTTCCAGAGGCGGCGTGATGTTTGTGGGGCTCATACGGGGGTCAGCACCGCGTCTCCACACAGACGCCCGTGGTCCTGTGGTGTGAGGGACCCTGGCTGGGAGACCTGGGAGCCCAGATCCCCCCTCCCTGCACCACCTCGTGTTTCTTTGGCAGACACCATAGGGTGCACTGGCTGTGGGGCTCCGTGCCCACCCCAGGGTGCACGCACTGCCCACCCCCGCCCGGGCTGTCGGTCTCCAGCCCACTTCTGCTGGGGGAGGGCACCTACTGTGAGCCGTGGCCTTGGGGCCGTCCCCAGGAGGGGATGCCGCCCCCTGAAGGCAGGGATGCTGCCCCCCACATGCAGACGCACCCCTCAGGGCCCGGGCCGGAGGTGGGAAGACACCAACGCACGCATCAGGTCAAGGACACAAGGCTGGGCTCAGCCCTCACAGACAAGTGAGGGGCCCCTGGAGCACAGGGGTCCCTGCTCCGACCCCCCGTGACGTGGCACCTTTCTGTGGTTCTGTGCAACCCGAGCTCCTCCTCCCCCTGTCCAAGGCTGCGGACCCCCGGTGTGGGGTCTGTGCGTCCTCATCCCCCCAAGGCCTCACGGACCTGCCTGACTCCTCCCACGGCTGCCTGGGCGGGAGCGCCCTGTGGGCGGCCTGTGCGTTGGGGTCACCGGCTCCTGCCTTCTCCTTATTAGGCAGGAAGCTCCGTCACAGCCCCAGGCCGTGCGGGGAGCGCTCTCATGGGAGGGAAGCATTTGTCCTTGTAGAATTTTCCACTCCGCTCTGAGCTGTTTTTAGCTGTTCTCGGCTGCACGGGGCCAGGGCTGCCGTGGCCTGCGCGGCCGGGAGGACCTGCCCGCTGGCCGCTGCGGAGCCTCGGGAGGGACGGGCAGGATCACGACAGCCTGGGGGCCCTGGAGTCTGAGCATAGACCCTGGGGTGGTCTGGTCCAGAGGCCACAGTGCTGAGCCCAGGCAGCGCTGCGGAGACATGCCCCCAGGGCGTGGAGGGTCTAGCCTGTCCCCAGGCTGCTCCCTGTGATGGCTCCTCCCTCCCTGTGATACTTCTGGAGCCCGGTGGATGTGCAGGGGGCCCCCCAGGTGCTATGGGGGGTCTCCAGGCTGCATGGGGGGCGGAGTCTCCAGGTTGCTGTGAGTGGGTCTCCAGGCTGCTGTGGGGTCAGGGTCTCCAGGTTACTTTGCGGGGGTCTCCAGGCTGCTATGGGGGGTCTCCAGGCTGCTATTGTTATAGGACAGGGAGAGGGGCAGCCCAAGCCCCGCAAACCTGCCTATTCTAAATGGGTTCTGCCATCCGCCGCATCAACACAAAACATAGGAGACTTTAATGGGAAGGAACTATAATTAAACTAGGAAACAACACAGGTAAGGCAAAAAGTCTAGTTTCTAAATGAAGCACCCAAAGTTACCCATCCCCTCGTGGGTAAAAGTCCATCCATATGGGATTGGCCCAGAACAAGGCCCCAAAGTCTACCACAAGTCTAAAACATCTTCCAGTGGGGACCCACAGAAAAGGGTCACAAACAACTGGACAAGCCCGGAAGGAAAAGAGCAAAATCAACATCAAGATAAAAGCTGCCATTGTCACCTCCCCACGGGTCTCACCCACATCTGTGTCACCCCGTCCACGACCAAAAGACAAGCGCAGTTTCTTCACGTGTCTCTAGGCTCCATGTGCCTCCTCCAGGTCTCCTTGCTCCATCCTGCTTCCTTCCTCAGACTCTTCTTGCAGCTTCTTCTCTTGCTGCTCAGCTCCACCCTCCCTTGGGTGGGGCAGGGAACCTCCCCCTTTCCTGGGGACCACCCTGTTGCACTATGGGGGGTTTCCAGGCTGCATGTTCACAAGCAGCACCTGTGACACCCACCTGGGCCAGGGGCTCTGGCCAGACCCATAGGCTGAGACCTTGCCCCGCCCCGTCCCAGGGCGAGGGAGTCTATTCAGTGTGGCCTGGGGTGAGCCTAAAAGGCCCCCAACACCCCGCCCACTCAGACCCAGATTTCAGCACTGATCCCCTCTGAGCAGCAGATCTCACAGGAACTCATGGCCCTCCTGGGGGCGCGCTGCCTTCTGGAGGGGCTCCCCAAGCTTCCCCGGCGTACACAGGTGGGGTTCCCCGGGGGCCGCAGCCAGAGCCAAGGAGGAGCAGGACCCCTCCCCAGGCTGCTTTCGTCTGACCCTCTGGGAGGGGCCAGGCGCCCCAGTTTGCAGAGCGGGGTCCCTGGGGCTCCGGAGCTAGGGGGACTCTGGGTGTGCCCCACCCCACCCCCGGGGCGTGGCGCTTAGTTTAAGGCAGAGACTGCCCGGAAGGCCTGGAAAATGTTTAAGGACCCGGAGGAGTTTTCAGTCTTTCATTTTAAATGAATGTCAAACTGCTGCACACCCCGGCGCCAGCGCCTCACCTCGTCCAGCCTGTGTCCTCCTCCCGCGCCCGGCTGGGGTCCCTTCCTCCCCTCCAGACAGCTGTCGCTTCTCCTGCACCGCTGGGCCTCGCCCCTTGGGATTTCGAAGTGCATTTCCTCCTGCACCCCCAATTTGGAGTGATTCACGGCCTGCCTGCGACTTCCGGGTCTCCCTGTTTTGGAAGGTGCGGTTCAGACATCTCCTCCTGATGAGGCAGGACAGGCCACAGGGGACGGGGGTGGTGGGGGGCGGGGACCACCCTCTGCGGGGGGCTGGAGCAGGCGGGCGCAGGCTCAGGAAGCGTGCCCAGTCGGGGAGCACCGCCCAGCCTGGGGAGCACCGCCCAGCCTGGGGAGCACCGCCCGGCTTCTCTGCGTGGGTGCGTCACCTCACTCCCCTCTGGGAGTCTCTGGGACTCTCCCGGCGCCCCTGAACCCCCACTGCAGGGACTCTGGCTGCTGAGCCTGCAGATGGGGACTTTGCCTGCTCGGCCCTCCTCCGGGGTCCGCCCTCCTTCCTGGGCCAGAGCCGCTCCTCCCCATGGTGTGCTCCCTCCAGGCTCGACGCCCCCCTTGCTGCTCCTTGGCGCACAGTCCCTCGCTGTTCCTCCTTCCTTCCTGCTGGAAGTCCCCCCATGTGGGCAGACAGTCCTTGGGGCTGGCCTGAGTCCTTGCTGGGGCCGCTGGCCGCAGTGTGGGGGGTCCCCCAGAATGCTGCAGAACCGGGTGCAGGGCGCTGCTCCCATCCCTCCCGCCCCCCGCAAGCACCGGCTGGAGAAGCCCCGCGGTACCCGGCTCACAGGCCTGCACACGCGCCCGCCATGGCGTAGCCCTCAAGCACATGCTTAAAGCGTGTTCCCGGATGCCCCGCGTGTCCAGGCCCCCAGGCCCTCGCCGCTCAGCCCTCTGGCTTAGTGAAGCACCCCTTTCCCGTCACCCCTCCTGCTGCGGCCTCCGGCATGGGGCCGGGAGGATCTCCTGACCCCTGTCCTTCTGCTGACGTTTGCACGACACAGAACACAGACGGCACGCCTGGCGGCCGGCGCCCTCCCAGGTGGGGGCCGCGTGCTCTGTACCTTGCCCCTTGCAGAGAGGACAGCTGCCCAGACGCACGTTGGCCCCCCTGGCCAGGACGCTGGGTCGTGCGCTGGCCGCCAGCGAGGACGGGCACTGTCCGAGGGGCCTGGACACCAGCTCCGTGGTGCTGGGCACCGCCTGCCCCTCTGTCCGCTTGCTTTGCCCTCCTCCCGCGGCCTCTGCAGCGCAGCGCGGGGCGGGCACTACCTCCCTCCTGCACACACCGTGGGCAAACCATCCTGGGGGCCTTCAGGAGACCAGCCCTGGGGCAGCCGCAGCGGGGCCCCCAAGGGTGCAGCCTCACCCCCTCTCCGAGACCCTCCCTTTCTCCCATCTTCCCGGAAGGCCCGGGCGCTTTCCCGGGTCAGCTCTCCCCAGGGAGGGTTTTCCGCCACCTGAGCGCGCGTTCGCCAGCCGTTTCCAAGTCGCACTGCGGTGTTTATCCCGAAACACTGGGTGTTGCCACCAGCTCGGGGGCCGGGGCGCCGGCTCTCCAGCCTCTCGAGAAAGAGAACTTGCCAGGCGCCCCAGGAGCCTCCTGACCTCCTGGGTGGGGTCCTGCCTTTTAACAACCCCTCCGGGGACAGCACCCCCCTGGCCTGCCCCCTGCCCCCCAGCCCCAGACCTGCCTGTCTCCCGAGAGTTTTGGAAGCCAATGTTTTGTGCCAACAGTGAAAAGCCAGTCGGGCCTCAGGGTCAACTTCCAGAGCATGTTCAGTGTTGCTTCTTGAAACGGCCACGGGCTGCCGCTTATTTTGGGTCGTTCCTGGTCATTTCCTCGGGTCTCTAACGGCCACTTCAGGCTGCCGGAACCTGCCCGCACAACCCCCACGCCCGGACACGTGCAGTTCAAGTCCCCGTGGCGGCTGCCGCGGTCCTCAGGCCTCCCTCCCTGCCGCCCCCCGCCGGCCCCCAGGCCCGGCAGTTCTGTTTTCAGCGTCTTCCCCTCTGAGGTGAGAGCTGAAAAGGACTCTGCAGCCGGGATGCAGCCAGAGGCTCTGTTGCTAATGAGGCGCCGGGTGTGCAAGCCAGCTGCTTGGGTCCCGGGGGGCAGGGGTCCCCTGAGCCCACTGCAGAGCCTCGGATCCGGAGGATGTTGTTTTGGTGAAGGAGGCGCTTCCCCCGGGCTTCCCGTCCTGAGCATCATCATGGCCATCATTTCCAAGAAAGCCCCCTTGCCACCCAGCCGGGCACTCGGGTCGTAGCTTCTCAGCGGGCAGCTCCCCCCATCCCCACGGACCCGCCGCGGGGGGCAGGCCGCTGCAAGCCCGTGAGGCTGTCCGCCCAGAGTGCCCGCCCCCTCCCTCCGGTGCAGGTGCTGAACGCTGCCCCCCCCCAAGCTCGTCCTAACCCCAGGGCCCTGAGCCCGCAGCCGCCCCCAGGGGAGAGCAGTTTGTTGGGGTGTGTGGACGCAGGCGGGCGGCTGCAGCAGGCAGGCGGTGGGTGAGGCAGGACGGGGCGCGGTGCTGCCAGGTCTCGGCGAGGTGGGAGACCCCTCCTGCTGCTGGCACCCTCGAGGTCAGTGCAAGCTCAGCAGTGGTGCCAGGCTGTCCGAGGCCCAGCGGTCTGAGCCGCCCGCACGCGCTGAGCGCAGGCCCCGCCGAGACACGGCCCCGAGCTCTGAGGCCCGGTTCTTGATTCCTGGCTCAGGAAGCTCTGCTGTTGGGGCTTTCCTGTCCTTCCTGGCCACTCCCTGCCGGCCAAGCCGTCCGGCACCGCTGTCCCCTCCCTCCCACACCCCGTGAGCATTGTGAATCCTGGGGAGGCTGTGGCCTCGGGACGGGGCTGTGCGCCCCTCCCGGCCCCTCCTCTGTGACCCCGGGGTCATTTGCTGAGTGTGGGCTGGAAATGCCTCTTACAAAAGCAGCACCAGGGCCCCCCCATGAAGACCCGCGTGGCTGATGGTGTCACGGGGTTCGTGAAACCGCATCCTGCCAGGATGAGGGCCTGGACACACGGGCCTGCGGCGACGGGCGGTGATCGGGGCTGTGGCCGCTGCGGGTGGGTCTCCTCCTTGGGGGCGAGCGGGTCTGTCAGCACAGCGACCTACAATCACGACTGTGGAAAGTCTCACTGTGCCGGGAGCTGCTGGAAACCCCAGGCCGAGGCCAAGGCGATATTCCTGGGGGGTCTGGGGCTGTGTCCCTTGTCCTGGGACCCACGATTGCTGTCAGTGAAGGGAGACCACAGCCCCCCGTTTCTACCCCGAGCCTGCAAGGCTGTGATGACGGGAGATACAGAGTGTGGATTGTGGGGTCACCAGGATACGTTCATCATGCCTGGCCTGGCCCCCAGTTCCTAGCTCACAGCCCCCCGCCCCAGGCCCCGGAATTCCCTCCCTGTTGGGACTAAAGAGGTGTCTCTTGTGTGCGTGTGTGACTTGGGCAAACATGTACGGAGGGGCCAGGGAAACCACAGAACACTCCACCATGTACGGTGGCCAGGGAAACCACAGAACACAGAACAGAGAGTGGGAACTGCAGTCACGCCCCATCCTGGGGAAGTGCGGCTGGAGGCAGAGTTCACCGTCGGGGGTCAGTGAGTCCAGGCTGTGTCCATGTAGGAAGCCCCACAACATCCCCAGGAGGGGTTCAGAGCTCCGGCCAGGGGCACACACGGAGGTCTGGAGAGATGGCCCTGGAGGGCGCGGGTGCCCCTGCCCTGCCCCAGGCCTGGCCCTGCACACCTCTCCCGCCCGCTGCTGCTGAGCGAAGCCCTCCGTGTGCACCAGGGGCCAGCAAGGGTCCGTGGGCCCATGAGGACGCAGCTGTCCTGTTCCACAGCCTGCCCGTCCCGCAGAAGCTCAGGTGGCGCCTGGAAGGGAGGAGGGGCGTGGGGTCCTCTGATGGGCCCAGGTGACCCCCAGAGCAGGACCGAGGTACAGGGTGGCCTTGGGGGACGTGCCTTGTGTGCGGACACCGGTGGGCAGGTCAGAACCGAGGGGACTCTCAGGACCCCTGGGGCTCATTCCCGGGCTGCGGGCCTGGCCGGTGCCGCCCGCTCCCCCAGGAGGGTGGGTGTGGCTGAGCCCACGTCCCCCGCCCCGGGCCCGCGTTTCCATTTGATGTGAGTCCGCCGTGTCCAGTAAGGGATTTCCTCCTCATATTGGCAGTTTCGCAACCGGGACACTCCTACATGAGGACAGAAAATGGAATGAAGGGGAGGGTGACCGGGGCGGGTGGACGTGTGTCCCCTGGGCGTGACACTGCCCGGGTGAGCGGCCAGGTGCGGTCTCTGGACCTGCGAGTGACCCTCTGGTGCCGCGAGCAGGTGTTTGCAGTCTCCTTAGAAGTGATTGGGCGCCGCGGCCTGAGGGTGGAGCTGGCCCCAGGAGGCCCCGGGGCAGAGGCAGAGTCCCGGCAGCACACACAAGGCTGTGAAGCGCCGTGGACGCAAGCACTGGAAGGCTTGGGCCAGGCCATGTCTTCATATGTGGCGACATCATCCCTGGGTATGCTGACCTCATTGCTCTGTATGTTGATGTCATCAATCTACACAGTGACGTTGTTGCTCTGTGTAATGACGTCATAACCTTGCATGGCGATGATGCCGTTGTTCTGCATGGCGACGGTCCTCACTCTGCATGGTGATGTCATCACCCTGCGTGATGATGTCATCACCCCGGGCGGTGATGTCACCGGTGTCTGTGTAAGCCTGGACCCCGTCGTGGGCTGACACTTCTCCCGACTGCGTGCCGCGCCCGGCTGCCCTGCTTCTGAGTCCACCGGCGCCGCGAAGGCCTTGCCCACGGGGAGCTGGAGTCGCGGTCTTGGGGGGGCATATTCAGGGGCCTGGCTTCTAAAGTCGTTTAGGGAGAGGGCTGCTCGGGGCTGGCCTGCCCCGCCGGGAGCTTGCTGTGGCCCCAGCAGCTCTGGGACTGGATCTGGTGGCGTCTCCACGAAGGAGGCCATGCTTCTGTTCATCCATTCAGCCCACAGACCCCAGTGTGTCCTGCAGAGTCTGTCCACGTGGCCCTGGGGCAGAAGGGGCGTCTCGCAAGGGACTGAGAAACAGGCCATGGTGGCCAGAGCCGGGCCATGGAGCCAGAACTCGGTGCGGCCGCGAGCCTGGGTGGGTCTAGTTAAAAATGGCCAGTGGGCAAGTGGGAGTCGAGGGGCTGAGCTTGAGCTTTGGATGTGAAAGGAATCTGCAGACACAACTGTGACCGATGGCCCGGGCTGGCTTCCCAGAGTGGGGGCTCCGCCAGGACAGCGAAGCCCCTGGGGCTGCCCCCTCCCCAGCCCCCAAGATCCTGAGCCTCTGCAGGTATTTCCACGGGAAGCTGCTGCCAGGACGGGTTCATCCTGACACTGGGATGGTGTACTGAGCAGCCTGGCTCCGGGTGGGAGGGGCCCGGCTCAGCCGCCACCCGCCTTAGAGCAGCAGGCAGCTTAGAGCCTGCTGGCAGCGGGTGCAGCAGCGGCTGCTGGGGGCTCTCTAGTCCGACTGGGAGCAGAGCTGGCCCAGCACCCCAGAGGGCGTGGCTCCGGGCAGCCTATGCCTGAGCCAGGAAGTCCCGAGGGGCCGCTCTCCCTGCCTGATCCCGTGTGGCAATAACAAGAGGGAGCAGCAAAACATGGGAGGCGGAAGAGAAGGGGCAGAGAAACCCGATCTGCTGGGAGGGAGCTGAGACGAGCCTCCCGGAGCACCTGCCTGGGCCACACAGAGCCCTGCCGAGCCAGCTGACGGAGGCTGTCAGCATGGGGAGAAGGCTCCAGGCGCAAGATGAGGCCAGCCCCCAGGTGCACCCCTGCAGCAGGCGGAGTTCGGGGAGCTGAGCCCCAGCGGGCCCTGGGCGCAGGGCGGGACCCGTGGACCAGCTGGAGCGTGCCCGTCCCGGAGGCATGCCGGCCCCCACGCGCTACCTCTTCGCGGTCCCTGTCTCCTGCATGATCCTGCTCATCGCCTTCTACGTGTTCAGCTTCGGGAGGGAGCAGAGCTTCCAGCTCAACAACTCGGAGTCTTTGCTCCTCACCCAAGCCTGCACGTCCTTCATCGAAGGCAAAACCCCGTTCCTGTGGAGACGCAAGCTCAGGATCCAAGAGCAGGCCTCCTGCCGGGACTACCTCACCCAGAGCCACTACATCTCGGCCCCGCTGTCGCGGGAGGAGGCCGCCTTCCCGCTGGCCTACGCCATGGTGGTGCACAAGGACTTCGGCACCTTCGAGCGGCTCTTCCGGGCCGTGTACGCGCCCCAGAACGTGTACTGCGTGCACGTGGACCAGAAGGCCGGCGCCGACTTCCAGCAGGCCGTGGAACATCTACTGAGCTGCTTCCCCAACGCCTTCCTGGCCTCCAAGACAGAGCCGGTGGTGTACGGGGGCATCTCGCGGCTGCAGGCCGACCTGCACTGCCTGGCGGACCTGGCGGGCTCGCGGGTGCCCTGGAGGTACGTGCTCAACACCTGCGGGCAGGACTTCCCCCTGCGGACCAACCGGGAGATCGTGCGGTACCTGAAGGGCCTCCGAGGGCAGAACATCACCCCGGGGGTGCTGCCCCCCGCGCACGCAGTGCCCAGGACCCGCTATGTGCACCGGGAGCACCTGGGCCCGGAGGCCTCCTACGTGATCAGGACCTCGGCGCTGAAGGCGCCTCCGCCCCACAACCTGACCGTCTACTTTGGCTCGGCCTACGTGGCGCTGACCAGGGCCTTCGTGGACTTCATCCTGTACGACCAGAGGGCGGTGGACCTGCTGCAGTGGTCCCGGGACACCTTTAGCCCCGATGAGCACTTCTGGGTGACCCTCAACCGCATCCCAGGTAGGCGACCCGTCGGGCAGGGCCTGTGCCCGCGCTTGGCCACCCCCAGCCTGGCCCTGTGCGTCGGAAACGTGAGCCCATGGAATTGCTCGCCCCCAGCCCCCTGTGACTGCGGTGGAGCAGGTGTCCAGTGGGGTGCGCCGAACCTGTCACCATGTCTCCACTGCGGTCGGGCCTGCCAGTCCCAGGCCTCAGCCCCCTGCAGCCCTCCCAGCCACCTACTCCCAGCCTCCTGCCCGCAGGAGCTGTGTACCCCCTGCCTGCTTCCTCGGAGGCCTGCACCCCAGAGCCGGCGTGTTCACAGCGTGCCACATGAGGGGGCTTCATCTCGTCCATGGCCCCGAGCCCAGAGAAGCAGGGTCATTCATTCCTCTTGTTCCCGCTGTGTCCTCCAGGCTCGGGAAGTGGTCAGTCGCTGGACATTAGGCCAGCAAATGAGCCCCCGAGGTGCTGCTGTGGCTCCTGGCACCCCCAGACCGCACACTCTTACCTGTGCCACCTCACTCTGCAGCTCCCTCACCTCTAAAACACATCAGATAAAGTGAGATCCTGAGGAAGCTCCTTTCTTGCCCAGCAGAACTTTTCTACCTCTCCCGAGGGACCGTCCCAGGGTTTTGAAATGAGACCAAACCCTGGGGTTTGATCTCTTCCCCTCCCTGCCCGCCTGCCTGAAGGAGAAACAAAATGGGCCTGGTGGGTGTGGCTGCGCGGCTCAGCAGGGGAGGCAGCATTGTTCTCTTCTGGGGGATTGCCAACTGGGCACAGGGCTGCTGCGCTGGGGTGCAGGCCGTGTGCACACTGAGTTTCCTGGACCCTGGCTGGCTGGCCCGGTGGGTGGGCACCGCTGCCCGGTCCCCCTCCCCCGTCGCAACTGCGGGCCTTAACTTACCTGCCATTTCCTGCATAGCATCTGGGCTTACCCGGCACTTAGACTTCATACTTAAATATGTATTCCCTTTCCATTTTTATTATTGCCGGGAGGTTCGTAAAAGTGGGGAACTAGTCAGGGCTGGGTCTCCCTGGGCCAGGCTCAGTGTCCGGGAATCGGGAAGTCAAGGGGAGGAGGTTCCGCCCTCTCCTGCACCCCCTTCCTCCCTGTCGCCACACAGGTGACACATGAAGTGGCCTCCAACCTGGGTCTCGACCAGCCAGGGCATGGGGAGACCAGACCAGGCCCCAGTCACTGACTCGCCTGCAGCTGAAGGCAGTGAGGGCTTCCTGGAGGAAGCGGCAGGCCACACTCACCCCTAGGGCTCCCTGCCCAGGAGGGCAGGCACGGAGTGGCCTCTGCACACAGGCAGCGCCTTTGCCTCATGAAAGCACCGTGGGGACACGTGGCACTGAGTGTGCCAAGGGCTTCCTCGTACGCTGGCTCCTGAGCTCTGCTCAGAACCCGCAGCAGGACAGCTGCCCCCGTTCTGAAGATGAGGCCATCTAGGATGAAAACAAGTGATTTGGCCAAAGACAAAGGTCGCCGGCCACTGCCAAGAAAAAGAGTGAAAACTGTCACCTGGGGAAGCAGAGGCGGAACGTGGGTGCCCGACGCCCGCCCTCACAGGGCTGGGAGGGTCACCGCAGCAGCCGGCGGGGGTCTCTCGGGTCTGGGGCCCTGGAGAGAGTCCCCCCACCTTCTGCCGTCCACCTCTCCCCAGGACTGCTGTCTCCCGCACATGAGCAGGGAGCCAGGTAGGGCGGGAGCGGATCCCGACTCGGTGCGACGCCAGGAGCCCCGTCCCCATCACAGACAGCTGGGCGGGGTGCAGGGCTGCAGACCCAGGCCCACCCGGCCCGCACCCTCCAGGCCCCCCCCCGCCGTCCTGGTCACCCGCCGTCCACATCACCTGCCATCCCCGCCCCCCGCCGTCCCTGTCACCCGTCTCTGGGGCCATCACCCGCCGGAGGCTCACGCCTGAGAGGACAGCTCTGCTCTCATGGCCGGTGGTGGACACTGACCGCAGCCCGGGGTGCCAGTGGGTTGAGAGCTGTGTCCTGGTGCCACTCAGAGTCAGGGACACTCACTCCTCGTGAAAGTGCTCCCTCTGTCCCTAGTGGGGCTTCCTGCGCCCTCATCCCAGACTGGACAACTCCCCTCCCCCCGCTTCTGTGCTGATGGGCCACGGCCCACACAAACCCCCAGACCCTTCTCCTGGGGGGTCACGTCCCCAACGCCCAGACCCCCCTCCTGGGGGATCACGGCCTCCGTCCCGTCTGTTGGTGTTACGGCGTCTGTGTTGGTGTGAGCCAGGCAGCTGAGGCCTCGTCCTCGGGAACCTGCAGTCTCTTTTCTTGGGGAGCCGTCTGGAAGCGAAAAAGTCGCAGGCAAAGAGAGGCGCCGCGTCTGCTCCTGAGCGGACATGGCCAAAGATAAATTTGGGTTGGTGTGTTCTGAGTGTGCTTGGCTTGGGCACCAGCATCATCACACCTGGGCACGTCACATCTGCTCCCCAAGGGGGCTGCAGGGACACAGAGAGCAGTGGACCCAGGGACGGGGAGCTGTGCTGCAGGGGCACGGGGGCCTGATGGTGCCTTTAGGCCAGGCTGATGCCCTACAACTGCCCCAGTTCCCTGGGGTTGCCCATTGCCAGCACCATCAGGTTGGGCGTGCCAGTGCTGCCCCTGCACAAGGGCACTGAGTTGGGTGCATTTAAAGGACAGCCTGAGAGGCGCCGGTGGGGAGGCGCTCTGGCCGAGAAATGCCCACAGGGGCCTGGAGGCTGGCCTGGGGTCCTGAGGACGCTGAGTGACCCCTAGAGCAAGTCCATGACTGCCTGACAAGGTGAACGGGCCAGGAACCAGGTGCCCTAGGGCCAAGTCACGGCCGCCAGCAGGAGGAGCCACAGTTTTCAAATGGTAGCAAGAGTTCAGAAGAAGACGCTTTCCTGAGGTGGGCATGAGAGGGAGCTGTGTCTGTGTGCTGGGGGGAGTGTGAGCCCTGGCCGGCTGCTGCAGCCACAGCCAGGAGGTTGACTGACCCCAGGCATAGCCACCTCAACTGCCCGTTGTTATTAGCCTCCTCGCATGCACAAAATAGTTCGTGTAAACAGCCTTTTTGTGGAGTCTCCCTGGTGGTGCAAGGGGTTAAAGACAGCACTGTCAAGCTATCCGTGGCCTCTGCAGCACGAGTTCCATCCCCGGCCAGGGAGCTACCCACAGGGCGCAGCAGACCTCTCCTGTCTCCTGCTGCTCCCCTCAGCAGTGGATTTCAGTTAATCCATCTGCTCTGCTCCCCACTCTCTCTGGTGAATCCTCGCACCCCCTACACTCCAGTTCTTGCATGCATAAATAAACAAATCTTTAAAAAGTAAATAAAATAAAAAATGCTTTTGTAATGAACAAAAAGTGTTCATGGCTTTTAAAAGCTTGTATTATTCTTAACAAAGTAACGTTGCTTGACAACACTGTATGAGTTAGGGGTGCAATTTCACCCCTCCTCAGATGCACGCACCCACACCCATCACCCACAGTCCCCACCACCGTCCCCAGTTTGCTCCCCCCTCCCTCTGGTAGCTGCAATTCTCCAGTCAGATTTCTAGGGTTTGTATATTTATTTTTGTGTAGAAGAGCTGGGGTAGCTGGGGTGTAGGCCAGAGGTGCAGGGGGTGAGGGTGTTACAGGGCAACCCTGATATAAAATGGGGTGCCTGACTGTGGGTCCTCACCCACGCGCTTAAAAGGGACTTACACTGCAGGCACACACAAGAGGTTAACAAAAGGTTTATTTACAAGGGAAGGGGAAATGAGGAAATGTACAACGCTGGGGTTAAAAGAGGGAGATAAATTCCTTTTTTTTTTTAAAGATTTATTTATTTATTTATACAAACACTGGGTACAGTCGGAAGTGTGGGAGGGTGAGAGGATTCACCAGAGCCAGAGCGGGGAGCAGAGCAGGCAGAAGGACCGAAGTACACTGCTGAAGGGAGCAGCGGGTGGCAGGAGAGGTCTGCGCGCCATGTGGGACCCTCACCGGCGGCCGGGGATCGAACCGGCGCTGCAGAGGCTGCGGGCAGCTTCGCAACCCAGAGCTCAACCGCCTGCGCCACCAAGGGAGTCCCTAAAATCTAGATTTTTTTTTTTTTTTTTTTATAGAGGCATGCTTTATTTATTTGTTTGCTGGTTTCTTTGTTTGTTTTGTTTATACATGCACTGGGTACAGTCAGAAGCGCGGGAGGGCGAGAGAATTCACCAGAGCCAGAGCGGGGAGCAGAGCAGGCAGAAGGACCGAAGTACACTGCTGAGGGGAGCAGCGGGCGGCAGGAGAGGTCTGCGCGCCATGTGGGACCCTCCTCCGGTGGCCGGGGAGCAGCCGGGGATCGAACCGGCGCCGCAGAGGCCGCGCGCAGCTTCGCAACCCAGCGCTCAACCGCTGCGCCACCGGGGAGGCCCCCTAAAATCTAGATTTTTTTGTATTTCTTAAAATATACCAGGTCCTGACCACCCTGGTGCTTACGCTGGGGTACAGGCCCCCGGCCCCTCCCCATCACCCCCATCACACCAGCGTTCACTTTGTTTCCTTTGTTTTTTCTTTAGTCTGTATTAAAAAATCATTTCGTGCAGCTTCTTGGTGATGCACACGATGGCTTGTCTCACTGGGACAGCCTGAGGTGCAGGGTGCAGCCGGCGGCCTGAGGTCTCAGCTGCCGGTGTCATTGCTCCCTCCTGCCTCACCTGCCTGCTGCCTGCGGCCAGGAGGAAGGGGGTGTCGGGAGGGCCTGGCTGGTTTCTCGTGGTCTCATTTGTGGCCGAGCTGCAGGTGCCAGGCTGACACTGAGCAGGGGGCAGTCCTAGGGTGGGGGACTGTGAGCCCCACTGGGTGGTCACTTGGCTCAGAGGAGGTGGACGTGAAGGGAGGGACGGGGAGGGACAAGACTCCACCTGTTCCTGGGAGGACCCCAGAGAGTCTGAACTTCATCTCAGTTTGAGTCTGGCTGGTCTTGTGTTGTTAGGGCTGGCCTTGTGCCCCCCAGCGTGGTGGGGGGGTCATTCTGGGGGTGGTGAGGGTCATCCCTCTGCCCATGACCTGGGGTCACCCCAGAACAGGGAGGCAGGGAGTGCCAGGAACATCAGCCTTAATTTGCTGAGCTGGTGCCAGGGAACAGAGCAGAAATAATGTCCTGGAGGAAGGTAATAGCTCAGCCACCCAATTATTTGCTGAAAGAAAATGCCTGTTCTGTTGCCAGGGATACCAGGCAAACAAGCCCGCGAGGTCCCTGAGGGAGCAGTTCTCTCTCAGGCTGGCTCTCCTGGGCACTCAGCAGGGACACGCAGCTTATGTGCAGGGGTCCTGCTGCCTGGGACCCAGGGGGTGCTGTCTGAGGGGGGCTTCCAGACACTGCTACAGTGAGGAGGTGGGGGGAGGACACACCCGTCTCCCTCCTGCCTCCTGGGTGGGCGTGAAGCCTGGTGGTGGTGCAACAGGGTGGTTCCCAAAAAAGGGGGAGGTTTTAGGTTTCCTGCCCCACGTTGGGCACCAAATTTGTTACAGGGCAGGGAGAGCGGCAGCCCAGACCCCGCAAACCTGTCTGTTTTAAATAGGTTCTGCCATTTGTCACATTAACACAAAAACATATGAGACTTTAATGGGAAGGAACTTTAATACAATTAGGAAACAGTACAAAAAAAGGCAAAGAATCTAGTTTCTAAATCAAGCACCCAAAGTGACCCGTCCCCTCGGGGGTAAAAGTCCATCCAAATGGGACTGGCCCAGAGCAAGGCCCCAAAGCCTGGCACAGTCTAAAGCACCTTCCAGTGGGGACCCACAGAAAAGGGTCAGAAACCACCAGACAAGCCCAGAAGGAAAAGAGCAAAATCAAAATCAAGATAAAAACCGCCATGGCCCCTCCCCACGGGTCTCACCCACATCTGTGTCACCCCGTCCACAACCAAAAGGCAAGCGCAGTTTCTCCACGTGTCTCTTGGCTCCTTGTGCCTCCTCCAGGGCTCCTTCTGGCTCCATCCTGCTCCTTCCTGCCTCAGTCTCCTCTGCAGCTTCTTCTCTCCCTGCTCAGCTCCACCCTCCCTTGGGTGGGACAAAAAACCTAAAAGAAAAAACTGAAGACTAAAGAAGGAAGGAAGCAGGATGGAGCCAGGAGACCTGGAGGAGGCACGTGGAACCGAGAGACACGTGGAGAAACTGCGCTTGCCTTGTGGTCATGGACGGGGTGACACAGATGTGGGTGAGACCCGTGGGGAGGGGACCATGGCGGTTTTTGTCTTGATTTTGATTTTGCTCTTTTCCTCCCAAACTTGTCTGGTGGTTTCTGCTCCTTTTCTGTGGGTCCCCACTGGAAGAGGCTTTAGACTTGTGGCAGGCTTTGGGGCCTTGCTCTGGGCCATTCCCATATGGATGGTCTTTTACCCACGAGGGGACGGGTCACTTTGGGTGCTTCATTTAGAAACTAGATTCTTTGCCTTACCTGTGTTGTTTCCTAATTGTATTCAAGTTCCTTCCCACTAAATTCTCACATGTTTTGTGTTGACGCGGCGGATGGCAGAACCTGTTTAGAGCAGGCAGGTTTGCGGGGTCTGGGCTGCCCCCTCCCTGCCCTGGAACAGTGGGAAGGAGAGGACGCAGCCCCCGCCAGGCGCCTGGTTCCCTCTGTCTCTCCATCTACCAGGGCAGATCAATACACTGTCCAGCGGCAGGTTGTTTTCCAGAGAGAAGCAGCAGCGAGTGCTTCTGTGGAGTCTGGGCCTCGAAGCCCTGGAGCCGCCTTCAGCCATGGCCGGTATTTTCCATTCCGCAGGCGGCCTCAGGGCTGGTAGGCTGGGCTGCCTGGCGGCCCGGCGGGGCTGAACCCGGTCAGACTGGGCCTGGCATCCGTGGAGTTGGGGTTCTGGCCTCCTTCCAGCCGAGCGTCTGCTGGGAAAACAATATTTGTTGGCCTCAGTTTCCTCACCTGTAGAGAGCCCCCCGTGGGTGTCTCCCAATCAGATTGTGCCTCTGTGAGCCGGACCCTCGGAGTGGGGGGCTGGGGGCTGTCCCTCCGGCCCAGACAGGTAGGGGCTAGGCCTGGGGAGGGGGTACCGCCGCTGCCAGAGACCCACACACCCCACTGGCCGCACGCCCTGGAGGCACCTGCCACAGGTAAGCAGCACCTGGCGTGACCTGCCTCTCCCGCTGGCGCCTTCCAGGAACTCTGCAGCTCCTGGAGCCTTTGTTCTAGGTGCAGAGCAGGGGTGAGGGGGCTGGGGAGAGACCCTGGCACCACCCCCACCGCTCAGTTCTGGGAAAAGGAAGCACAGCCCCTTTCTCTCCAGCGCTCGCCTTTGTATCTGCCCTCAGGGAAGCCACAGCGGGGGCTTTGTCCTCAGCGCCCCCAGGACTGTCGTCCCCACGCCAGCGCCCGCCCCTGCCCCTCCACCTGGGTGCTCGGCACCGACCGGGCCGCAGACTCTGACCCAGCCCGTCCTCCCCACCTCCCTGTTTGCTCTTTGGCTGCGAGAATCCTGACTCCGAGGTGTGGCGGGGGCGGTGCGCCTGGGGTGGGGCTAACAAAGGGGCGGCAGGAGCCAGGCAGACGGGGGCCATCCAGTGGGGATTGGAGGGTGCCTGGTGCCGGGGTGAAGGAGAGAGACCGGGAAGGGGGAGGTATTCCTGCCAGACCTCGCCGGCCACCGCCCACCTCCCGCCCGGGGAGGCTCATATGCAAACGCGGCAGGTGGGGAGCTGAGACGCAAATATGGGCGGGCTGGGCGGGCTTTGCTTATGGATCGGCACCGCCTGGCCCGCACCCCCAGAAGCTCGGGAGGATGGATGAGACCCGGAGGCAGGGACTGTGCGAGCATTAAAGCCTTGCCAGAAGCTGTCGAAATCCACGGCGGGCAGAAGGGATCCTTCCTGCTTGCGCTGGGCTTTCAGGCAGGAGTGTTTCTCAACCCCTGGAGAGAGACGCCTTCCCCGGGAAGTGCAAAGAATGAGCTTCTGGCGCTTCTATTTCTTTGCCTTCACCTTGCTCAGCCTGGTGATATTTGTGACATTTTACAACAAGGAAGGGAGCCAGCGCAAGAGCTCCTGGGCGCAGACGGGCTCCAGAGAGCGGGACGTCAGGGCGCAGGCCTGTGACTTGGTCCTGGAAGGCAAGCCCGCCTTTATTTGGGGGGACACCTCCCTGTCGCCGCGGGCCAGCATCCCTTGCCGGGACTACCTCGCCCAGAGCCACTACATCTCGGCCCCGCTGTCGCGGGAGGAGGCCGCCTTCCCGCTGGCCTACGCCATGGTGGTGCACAAGGACTTCGGCACCTTCGAGCGGCTCTTCCGGGCCGTGTACGCGCCCCAGAACGTGTACTGCGTGCACGTGGACCAGAAGGCCGGCGCCGACTTCCAGCTGGCCGTGGAGCATCTTCTGAGCTGCTTCCCCAACGCCTTCCTGGCCTCCAGGCGGGAGTCCGTGGTGTACGGGGGCATCTCGCGGCTGCAGGCCGACCTGCACTGCCTGGCGGACCTGGCGGGCTTGCGGGTACCCTGGAGGTACGTGCTCAACACCTGCGGGCAGGACTTCCCCCTGCGGACCAACCGGGAGATCGTGCGGTACCTGAAGGGCCTCCGAGGGCAGAACATCACCCCGGGGGTGCTGCCCCCCGCGCACGCAGTGCCCAGGACCCGCTATGTGCACCGGGAGCACCTGGGCCCGGAGGCCTCCTACGTGATCAGGACCTCGGCGCTGAAGGCACCTCCGCCCCACAACCTGACCATCTACTTTGGCTCGGCCTACGTGGCGCTGACCAGGGCCTTCGTGGACTTCGTCCTGCACGACCAGAGGGCGGTGGACCTGCTGCAGTGGTCCCGGGACACCTACAGCCCCGACGAGCACTTCTGGGTGACCCTCAACCGCATCCCAGGTAGGTGCCCGTTGCTGGCCCTGTGGCCACTCTGCAGGACAGATGCAGGGATGAGCTGAAAGGAACGTGTGAAGTGTTTACACAGCGCTCCGTGTGGGTGCTTCTTAGCCACAGCTCGGACCAGTGCTTGGTCTGATGCCCATTAGGGGGTCCAGTCTGCACCGCACAGCCACAGCACAGCCGATTTCCATGACTGTTCTAGAACGTTCGAGTCTGCTGGCACAGATCAAGTCCTCTCCGCACGTCCACCAGTATTCACTCAGCTTAGATCTGGGGGACCCCGAGGCTGGGTCTCCAGCAACCAGGAAACCTCGCCTGGTCTCTCCGAGCCTGAAACGAGGGTGCGCATGGTCACATGTACAGAGACTCGGGCTGGACTCGGCCAGCGCGCCCTCGCTGGCAAGCACAGCCTCCATCAGGGGTCTGTCAGCAGCCATGCTCTTCTGAGAAGGCCTCTTGGTTCTCCACATGGAGCATCCAGGTGTCCGGGGTTATTGGTCAGTTCTGGGTCGTCTGGGAATCGCGGTCTCTCTTGCCAGTGTCCGCACAGGTTGCAGGGTGAAAGGGGCGCTGCAGGCCCCCAGCAGTGGCTGGTCTTTGGAGAGCTGATGGTCAGGCGCAGGCACAGGGTGTGGGGAGGCTGGGCCGGTGTGCTGAGAGCTTGTCTCCGCTAGTCACTGCTTCTCTCTTTTTTTAAAGTAATTTATTTATTTATGCATCCAAGAACTGGGGTACGGGCCAGAGGGGTGGCGGGGGTGGGGGAGAGGATTCACCAGAGACAGCAGGGAGCAGAACAAGCAGACTGATGAAATCCACCGCTGAGGGGAGCAGTGGGGAGACAGGAGGGAGCTGCTGTGCCATGTGGGTATCTCCCTGGCTGGGATCGAACTCGTGCTGCAGAGGCTGCGGACAGCTTCACAGTGCTGAGACTTAACCCCTGTGCCTGCAGAGAGGACCCCTGGAGCTGCTTCTCTTGCATCAGAAAAAAGAAAGGAACACTCCTTTCTCAACCCTGTATTTCTAAAGCCAATTTCCTGCAGAATCCCAGGAAGGAGGAAGGCTGAGGGTAGGGGGTGACGGAGCAGGGCTGGGTGAGAGCCTTTGAGCATGTTCAGCACAAGTGTTAGCTGCAGAGATGTGGGGCTTGTGTGTGTGTATGCATGTGTGCGTGTGTCAGAGACATGGAGCACCCACCTGGGGCTTGGCCGGCCCTCTCAGCCTGCAGCTCCTGCCAGGAGTGGGGTCTGGCCCCTCCCTCAGCATCTCCCAGAGGCTAGGGGGGCAATAAGCTGAGGCTCAGAGCCACACCCTATTGGGAGGACCGAGCTTCAGCTTCGCACAAGGTAGAAAGAAGTCTGGGCAGAGATGGTTTTGATGTCTGTATTTTCGGAGCAGCCGTTGGGCTGAGTGCAGGGAGCATGTAGGATTCATTTTCCCTGCCCCAACCCCTCAAACACTGCGGTGCTTTTCCCTACTCTCTATCTGGTCCTATTTTTATTCTATTTTTTTTTTAAAGATTTATTTATTTATTTGTTTGTTTGTTTGTTTGTTTGTTTGTTTATACATGCACTGGGTACAGTCAGAAGCGTGGGTGGGTTAGAGAATTCACCAGAGCCAGAGCAGGGAGCAGAGCAGGCAGAAGGACCGAAGTCCACTGCTGAGGGGAGCAGCGGGCGGCAGGAGAGGTCTGCGCGCCAGGTGGGACCCTCACCGGCAGCCGGGGATCGAACCAGCGCTGCAGAGGCTGCGGACAGCTTGGCAGCCCAGTGCTCAACTGCTGCACCACCGGGGAGGCCCTGGTCCTATTTTTAAAATTGTTTTTAAGAGCTAGCTTATAGAAAAACACTTAAAATATTCCCAAGCCTTGCTAACATCAGCTGCCAATACCATCGCGACCTTATTCCTCCTCCGGTTTTCACAGACACCAGATTCGCCAAGTGCCGAGAACAGCACCTATACAGTTTATTTTATTTTTAAAGATTTGTTTATTTTTATGCATACAAGAGCCGGGGTACAGGCCAGAGATGCGGGGGGTGAGAGGATTCACCAGAGACAGAGCAAGGAACAGAACAGGCAGACTGACGAAATCCACTGCTGAGGGGAGCAGCGGGCACGTTAGGAGAGGTCTGCTGTGCCATGTGAGTTGCTCCCTGGCCAGCCGGGGATCGAACTCGTGCTGCAGAGCTGTGGATTGCTTCATAGTGCGGTGCTTAACCCCTTGCGCCACCAGGGAGGCCCAGTACCTGTGCAGTTTAAATTCACCCCATTATCAGCCAGATGTACCTCAATAAGACTTTTCTTAAAAAAATAGGCTGCACGGGGGAAATAAAGCTCCCCCCAAAAAGACAGAAAGAGAATAAGGGCCCTCATTCTGGGTGTCCTTTGTCTGCCAGAAACGTAGCACTCCGGGAAGTGTTCTTTATTTAAACAGATCCCACGCGGCCTCAGGGAGCTCATTTTAATTGAAAAGCTTGCCTTTTTCTTCTGTGGAGGCATTTTTAAATCTAGGTCCAAGACATTTGGGAGAACTTTACTCCCACGAGGGGTTGACCTGGCTCTCAGCCTGCTGTCCCCCAGCCAAGGCTCCCGGGCTTCTCGGCATCTGAGGGTGCGTCCTGTCCAGAGTGTGTGTGTGTGTGTGTGTGTGTGTGTGTGTGTGTGAGTGACTTTTCGCCCTGCCACGCTGGGGTTTCCTCCTACCACCTCCATGTGACTCACTCCTCTTCCTCCCTTACAACCCTCCTGGGAAGTCACCTCCTCCAGGAGTCCTCCCTGATAGCCACCTCCCAGACGTCTGGCTCTCCCAAGCTGCTGCCTCCAGCATTGGGCAGAGATCGATGGTCTCCCTTCAGGGGCCGTGTCCCCACCACTCCCCACACCCCCACATCTCACTGCATCTTCTCTGCGGGTCAAGGGTCAAGTCAGGTCAAGTGAGCAGAGGACCAAGTCCCAGGAGGGCAGTGCCAGAACAGGCTGGGGTGTCTTGGGGAGCACAGACAGAGAAAGCATGGCAGGAGAGGGCTCGGAGGTATAATTCGAGGTGGCCGGGCCAGTGAAGCCCACCTGGAGACAAAGTTCAGGTCAGGACGAGGCAGCTCAGGCCGGCAGGTGCGTCAAAGGCTAGATCCTGTCCCCAGAAAAGCTGCCTCCAGCAGCTGCCAACCCAGACGCCGACGGGCGCAGGCACCCCTGGGCTCCCCTGAGCCTCCCTGTGCCCCCCAGAGTCACCCTGTGCGTCTCTGAAGCCGGGACTGCCAGGCAGGTTTAGTACCACCCCTGCCAAGAGGGACCCTCCACCTCTGTGACCAGAGGGACCCTCAGCTCCTGGCTTAAGGTTGCGAGAAGAGCGCAAAAGGGGAAATGTGAGTCCTCTGTCCAGGTGTGACTGGCAGGTAACCCCGGCTGCTGAGCTGCGGCATCTCAGGAGCAGGCTGGAGCCGGGCAGGGCCCCCTGGCATTTCCAAAGTATGCATTGTGCTGTGTGCAGCAGCTGGCCCTGCGGCCAGTGTCTGCAGCCACAAAGGGCACATTGGGGCGTGCGATTGCACCTCTGGCCGGCAGGTAGAGGCCTGGGCACCCAGCTTGGCCTCAGCCAGGGTCGCCGGACTGTAGGTCCCCCACCCCTGCCTGCCAGACCTGCTGCTGGATCCCCAGGATCCGCTGTGTCCTGGGTCCCCAGGTGACACATGGGCGCTGCACAGCTGCTGGGCACCAGGTGGACTCAGTGGACTTGGCAGATTTGGGTCATGTTGCTTATGTCTTGGGACCCCAGACTGAGGAGAGACCCCACCCTGCAGGGTGCCGGATGGGGGCAAGGTGGAGGGGGAGGCGGGACTCGCCCTCCTAAGACTGTCCCCGGGCCCCAGTGTCCTATCCAGGCCCTCACGGACACGGTGGCCACATGGTCAGGTCGTTTGAGACTTCGGTGGACCAACTTGGTGTGGAGTGGGAGGTAAAGTGTTTATCTACTTCCCGTGGATTTTCATGTGAACATCAATTATTACTTGTTTTAAAGATTTATTTATTCATACAGAGCTGGGGTACAGGCCAGAGGCGCGGGGGTGGGAGTAAGGGGTTTCACCAGAGACAGAGTGGGGAGCAGAACAGGCAGACTGACTGAAATCCACTGCTGAGGGGAGCAGCGGGCGAGACAGGAGAGGTCTGCTGTGCCATGTGGGTAGCTCCCTGGCCGGGGATCGAACTCGTGCTGCAGAGGCTGCTCGTAGCTTCACTGTGCTGATGCTTAACCCCTGCGCCCCGAGGGAGGCCCTGAACATCAATGATTAATATTAGCGTGTTCATCAATTATGACCGGTGCGAACCTCTATTATTGAGAAATCCCAAATGTGGCCCAGTGCTGAGTGACATGCACCTGAGCCCCTCACGTGTGCCCGCACCTCCTCGCTGTCTTGGACGGGTTTGGGAACCACGACCACACAGGACAGTCCCTGGAAGCGGAGGGGCGGGGCGTGTGTGAGGTGGCCCGGGAGAGGGGAGGCCTCGGGGTTGTGCCTTGTTTTTTTCCTGCAACCTGGCCACGGCTCAGAAGCAGACCTCAGATGTCTGCCGAGAACCACACAGTTTCTCAGAAAAGGAACAGCTTCTCTGGACGAGGCCTGCGAGGCTGAGGGGGATGAGCACATGATCACCACGCGGGCTGGCCTAGACCACGCCGCTTCCTCCTCCACACAGTTCCACTTCCTCCGCTTCAGGGAGCCCCAGCTGGCGGGTACAGGGGCCCCTTCAGTGCTGACATTCAGACACCTGCTTCAGGCCCAGCCCACGCCCTTGGGGGTCGTGTGCCCGGAGAGCCCAGGGCCAGCTGCCTGCTACCTGCTGGCCTCTCAGCCCCAGCCTGGAGTCTTGGTGACTGAGCTGGAGCTGGGCCCGGGTTCACCCAGCTCTGCACCCCCCGGAAGATGTGCCTGGGGTCCATGTCTGTGTTTGGGGCGGTGGCAGTGGCGGGTGCACAAGAGTCATGGGCATGGACATGCACCAAG